CCCCAAAACCCCAAAACCCCAAAACCCCAAAACCCCAAATCTAACTTAAAAATTGGGAATATCGAATTTAAATTACTTAAAAGTTATTTGTTTCAAATGAACAGTACAAGTACGAATTATGGACTTACCGATACTCCTCATACCTGTCGCTCGAATTATGAGACTTCACAGATAGATGTTCAGGTGATAGATCAAATCAATCTACCAGTGGTTTTTCTAAAGGGAAGCTCGCTTCCTGTGCCGGTACTCCTCAAGCCAAACTCAGTTTCCAAAGAGACTCAACTGTTTGAGTTGTCCGATGGGATTCCCAAAACTAAGAGCTATGAGACCTCACCAACAGTCGATAAGCTGTTCTCTAAGCCTCAATTGCTCTCTGATGAGTCGGTGAATGACTCTCAAGTTTTTGGATATCGACACAGTCCTGAAAATAAAGAAAAATTAACTAAAACTTTGGAATCGACTTTACCTAAAGTGAATGAGAGGATATCTTTGAAGCCTACTCCTAAACTCCAGATCTGTAAAGACAGTGAGAAACAAGAAAAGCAATCTATGAGAAGCTTTTGTCCTTATAAGACTTTAAAAGCTAGTAGAACTCGTTCTGCATCACCTAAAAGAGATCAGTTAGCTATTTTGAAAGATTACAAGCATTCAGTCATGTTTATCCGACATGAAAATACCGAGAGAAGGATTCTAAAATGTGAAATCCCAGGATGCAACGAGTCTTTTAAGACAATCAAAAAGTTCTTTAAGCATTCACAATTACACCTCAAGTCTTCTCTCTTCCAATGAAGATACTGCTCAACACAGTTGGAATCTTTGAGCAATCTGAAGAGGCATATTTTAAGTCATCGGATGGCTTTCAGATCCAATCACCTTTTATTGCAGAATAATCAAAGCTAGAAGTTGAGCTCACTCAGTTCTCCCAACAACGGTTTGTTCATCCAAATCTCAGGTTGGACGAAATAAAGCTAATTACGCTTATAATAACTCTTAATACCCATATTTCTCTCAAATTTTACTTTAAGCAAGGATCGGCGCTATCCAAATTATGTTAAGACTCATATCTCACTTTTGTAGCTGATAATTTAGAAAGATTTTGTACTTGGGGAAAAGTTGTATTTTTAGAGATGTGTCAGTTGCGAAGGATGATTTTGCTAATTGAAATACCACTTCTTTGACTCTAAGTTTTGGAGGTAGAGGTGCTAATTGTCTCGTCTCCTTGATTTATGAATTATTCAGCTTGGTAAGATAGGTATTTTGAAAACAATTATATTAAATTTTTATTTAAAGTGGACTTTATTGCCCAAAAAGAGCCAAATCTTTATAATTTATTAGGAACAGATTGATGGTAAGAGATCAAGCTGTAGACTATCTCAGAGAAAGAAGCCGGTCAATATGAGGTATATTTACAACTCTTCCAAATCTTTAGTTCAATTTGAATCCTGTCCTCTGGGGTTTTGGGGTTTTGGGGTTTTGGGG